ATATAATATTCTCCGTTCGTTAGACATTTCAACGCGCGATCATGAAAGAAAGGATAATAATAACGTCAATAGCATGGTAAGAAATTATTTAGATTAAAATGTAAATCCTTTTGCAACCTCACTGTGCAATCTCCCCGTCTTCCTTACTCTCTCTTCCTCACCATCTCTCTCTCTTCTTATTTTCACCCCTTCCCCCTACACCGTTCTCTCCCTCTCCCTTCCCCTCCCTCTTTCGCCTTTCTCGCTTTGTCTTCTCTCCATCAATACCTTCACTTCACCCCCTTCTCTGTCCTTTTCTAATTCCATTTTCTCCCACCATTCGTTCAAATCCGTTGTCCCTTTTGCTCTTCTTTCGTTTCGCCGTTCCCTCCCATTTGTTACATTCTACAATCCTCTGTCCATTAAGTTTCCATTGTCCGAATTCAGCATAATACATTGTGAGAAAATGGAATAAGGAAAATGGTGGATTGTTGGCGGTCGCGTCATTCGGTCATATCAGATCCACCCCCGGTCGAAACCCTGGAAGATATTATATTACATTATATATATATATATATATATATATATATATATATATATATATATATATATATGTGTGTGTGTGTGTGTGTGTGTGTGTGTGTGTGTGTGTGTGTGTGTGTGTGTGTGTGTGTGTGTGTGTGTGTGTGTGTGTGTATGCGTGTGTGCGTGTGCGTGTGTGTTTGTGTATGTGCGTGCGTGCGTGCGGGCGTGCGTGTGTGAGTGAGTGAGTGAGTGAGTGAGTGAATGAATGAATGAATGAATTAATGTATGTATGTGTATGTGCGCGCGTATGTGTGTGTGTGAATTCATGAATGTGTGTGTGTGTGTGAATTCATGAATGTGTGTGTGTGTGTGTGTGTGAATTCATGAATATGTGTGTGTGTGTGCGTGTGTGTGTGAGTGAGTGTGTGCGTGTGCGTGTGCGCACATCACATATATATGTATATATGCGTGTATGTTTGTGTGTTTATGTGTGAATATATATATATATATATATATATATATATATATATATATATATATATATATATATATATATATATATTTACACACGCCGCACTACCTGAAGCAATATATACATGTAGTGTATAAGGAGAGATACGCATTGGAAGCCCCGTAGGCATAGAATAATCACAACTACTCGGACTACAGCTCCTTATGCGGCTAACCATTCCTCAGAAGCTTAAGGTCTTGGCCTGTGTGAGCCTGGCTAAGCGTTGCACAGCATTAATCTATTCATGTTCTCCAAGATGACTCTGGAATGATAAATGACTGTTGTTGTATTTAAAATTTATTTTTTCGTCTTGGTTTATATTGTTGCTCGGCGGTTCTGGTAATATAGATATGCTTCAGTATAACTGTATCCCTTAGTAAAATAGTTCATTTGATGAGTTGATAGTTTAAAATATCCCTCTCCTAAAATTTATTCACGTATGCGACACACATTCATGCATACGCTCTATTCAGTAACGATTCCCTATACTGTAGGATCTCCCTCCGCTGCTGTATATGATGTATCTAAATTGCATTAGAACGCTCTGCGTAACAGGAGCTGTGTATTATTACAGCCCCCCGTATCTCCCTTGTAATTAGAGTAGAAGATATCCTCCCAAAAAATCAGCTCTTCTCACAGAGTCTAATGACTTTTTTTGGACTCTGGTATACTTCATGAATCTCCAAGGGTGAGGCTCTGAGGGTGAGGGAGGCCTCGAGTGCCAGCCCTGACAGCCGAGAGCGAGGTGGCTCCCTGGGCGCGTGCCTAACAAGTGGGAACAGCGGTAAACCTCGACAGACGTATCTAATCGTCGGCAGGCGCGGTGGCTGTGCCTTTATTGATGTTTATTGATGTTGAGCAGTACGGTCGGCAGGCAGCAAGACGTCCCCGCGGGCCGTGGGGCGGCCAATCAGGCGCGCCGCACTGCTCATCACCACTTGTCAATCAGGGCTTCGGCGGCGGCGTCTCAGCGAGAGGGGGGCGGGCCGTGGCCTCCTCCAGGACTGCGGGGAGGGGACTGATAGGGGACGGGGGAGGGGTAGAGATCCTGGTGGAGGGCGGAGGGAAGGGGGGAGGTCCTAGTGGAGGGCGAAAGGGAGGGGAGCCTTTAAGGAGGTCGGAGGGGAGGGGCAGTCCTGATGGACGAAGGGGAGGGGGGAGAGAATAGGGGAGGTCCTGGTGGGGCAGAAGGGATGGGAAGCTCCAGGGACTATCTAAGCGTGTGTGATGAGGGACATATTTTCTTTCTAGTGTGTGGCTGATGCGCGGGGCCGGAGGGGAGGAGCCGCGATGGATACCATTAGCAATTTACATGCTAAGTGTGCGTGAACTAGGAAGATAACATTGTCTTGCATACTCTACACTGTCGCACTTCACACTGCTTATACCACGCCACACGCAACGCTATACACACACCTTGATGGATACTGCATTACATAGCACATTTTAAACATTACACTAACCCGAATACCGCTTCTTCTGAACACCGCGTAACCGCTACACTATACACTTCATACCACACACATTGTACTCTACACCTTTCATTACATCCTACCTTTATACCCGTTACATCACATGCGCATACATCATACCACATAACTACCAATGCACCGCGCCACATATCACTCTTAAATGCACGTTCTCCTTGCGCACTCTTCGCGGACACAATCTAGCATCGCTTATATGATATTCCCCTGTTTGCACGCAGTCCACAGCTCCAGCCTTGTTCCGACCGTCTACAACACAACAACAGTGTGAAACCTTCTCGTCCATTGTAACAAAGAAACTATATAATTTTACGACATGGAGACTATATTACCTCCCATCACGTCATAACAAAAGCATGGTAACACAGTTAATCTCAACGTTTAATACACTCGCCGTTTCACAATAGACACCAATTACCCGCGACAAACGACACAGCATATCGCAGTATACGCACAGCTACACAATTAAGTATGCCAAGCGATCACAGTTAAGTTCACAATCCCCAGCCTCCGAACATTAAAAATTTAACTTTCATACATAGCTACCCTCTAAAAATTAACAGCCTACACACACATACGTGCACATATATGTACATGCACGCTCTCGCTCTCTCTCTCTCTCTCTCTCTCTCTCTCTCTCTCTCTCTCTCTCTCTCTCTCTCTCTCTCTCTCTCTCTCTCTCTCTCTCTCTCTCTCTCTCTCTCTCTCCCTCTCCCTCTCCCTCTCTCCCTCTCCCTCTCCCTCTCCCTCTCCCTCTCTCTCTCTCTCAAACACACTCAAGCACAAACCCCCAGACCGTCCTCCTTGCACGCCACACACTGCGCCATCCACGCTGAACGTCCCTCCCCATTGTCGTCTCGCTTTAGAAAACCCTAGAAACCCATTTCCTATTATTCCCCCCTTTTAGATAAGAGCTTAAAGCTGGCATTTTCTTCCTCGGCCAACTTAGGGTAGGTCCTCCTCGAGTCTCTACTCCTCGAGATGGGGGGGAGAGGGAGGGTGTCTGGTCTCAAGACATCGAGTTGACAAAGCTCATATCGACATTGAGTGCATTATCGAATCCATGATAATTACGAACCATGATTGGACTGTCGATCCTAGGAGTAGAGTTGCTGTGATTTTCGTTCGCGGCCGTCGGGGGGGGGGGTGCATTCGACTAGGGACTCTTTGCGTAATGGGCTGCGGTTCGGGGAAATGCGTCGTGGATTACGTTCGTGTAAAATTGTGCGTGTAAAGTTGTGCGTACGATGCCATGCTTCGTTTTGTTTAATATTCTTCAATCAGTTTATTCGTGCTTCTTTTTTTTTTTTTTTTTTTTTTTACTGTATTACGAAATTGACTTAACTCGAAACGATGTAGTTTAGGAAAGACTGGAAACTTATCACAATCAGAAACGTAATTCTTGTAGGAGTTTTAGATTGAATTTTCTTTTTTCTTTTTTTTACGTTCTTGTATGTTATGATCATTGTTTTTTTCATCTCACAGTTTCCAAGTATTTTTGTTTTTCATTCTATTAATTTTGCTTAGGAGGACACACAAATACACAGACACTCACTCACGTACTTACAATATATATATATATATATATATATATATATATATATATATATATATATATATATATATATATATATATATATATATATATCGTTTAGTTCACCATATGTTCTAGGTACAGCCACAAACTGCCAACCAAACACAACCAAACAAAATGGGTGTAAACACGTGCCTGGTATAAACAAAAAGTCCTGCAAGTTCTCTAACGCTGAACCCCTTCTAAGACAACCTTTCCATCCTCTGCTTATGCGTACAGTAGATTTCTTAAAACTTAATCTCCATTTATTCCTTTTTTGTATTAATAAAATAGGAGCCCAGTGGTCCGACCTCAAATACCCGAGAGGAAGTGTAGCCCGGAGAGTAGGCTTTCTTATGCATAGATTAAATACGAGTTCATGGCGCCCTTGCGGTGTGTGGAGCGAAGTCACAAGGTCAGCTTTTTGCTTCTCCTTGGATTCGTCTCTTTAAAATTATCTTTTGTTTATGATGATTGAGACGAGTGCCACAAATTGCTTTTGTTTATGAAAGTGGAAGGTGATTTTGTACTTTTTTTGTATTTTTTTGTGGTATAAGTTTTTTTTTTTCCAAATTTCTTCCCCTTCTGCTTCTTTGGCCTACGTTTGAAGTGAGGTCGGACCACTTTTCTATATAATGATGTGGATCAGTGTGTTTTATTTTATCATCTCTTTTAATACCAATGACCTTAGCTTGATATAAATTTCATTATGCTATTTCAGGAATATATATATATTTTTCAAAAAAATCAAACTAGCCTCTATTTCATATAATCGTTTATCTTTCTATACCTCGCAATGCCCAATCTCATTTTCATTCTCCTCTTTCCTCTCCCATTACGAACCGCCCTACTAGTCCATCCCCAGCCTCCCCCCCCCTCCCGCCCTCCTAACAGACGCTAACTCACCGCCCGTTTTCCCTTGCAG